GGGGGGGGGGGGGGAGATCTACAACATTCCCTTTATCTACCAAGCTTGTAACTCTATCAGAACAGGAGATAAGATTAGTCTGGTATAACTTGGTTTTTGAGAAACTCATATGAACTTTTAGAGATCACAGGATTGCTTTCTAAGTGTTTACAAACTGTCTGTTTAATGATCTGCTCTAGAATCTTTCCTGGTATTGGTGTCAGGCTGACGGGGCAGTAATTGCTTGGGTCCTCTTTCCCCCATTTTTTGAAGATGAGGATAATATTTGCCCTCCTCTAGTCTGCTGGGACTTCTCCTGTTAATGCAATCAAGCCAACTGTTGAATGGAGACCTTTTGGAACCATTAGTAGGCTTCCCATTGTGCCACTTGTCATATTGGCAGATACATTTCAGGACCTTGCTCTGGTAAACCACTCCAGTGCTGTGCAGCAAATTAAATCTGCTGGGCCTTCAACTTTCTGCAAAAACAGTGATATTTCAATGCCTTTGATTCAGCTCTCTATATTACCAGTCACAATATATTACCTGAAATGTCAGATGCAATATACCTCTCAATATCAGTTGCTGCAAAACAAGAGTGGAAGAGTACAGTTGAATTCAGGTCCTGCTTGCAGGTTTCCTGAAGACATCTGGCTCACTGCTGTGAAGACAGGATGCTGGGCTAGATAGGCATTTGGTCTAAACTGTTGTTGTTGTTGTTATTGTGTGTCTTCAAGTTGCTTCTGACTTATGGTGCCCCTAACATGACTCTATCATGGTTTTTGTTGGAAAATCTTTGCATTCTCTCTCCCCCTTGTCCTAAGATAGACAGGATCTTCCCTGCATGCAAACTCTGCTGTCCCCTCTTCTAAACATACCATTGGGTTCTTGCTGAATCACAGGGGCAATAAATACCTTTGTAAATTAGTAAAACAAATCATGTGATTCACGTCACTTCCTTTTAGGAAGTTTCTCTCAAACAAGAGATTTTCTCCTGTCTCCCATCTCCCTGCTCTATCAACTTTCTTCCGAAAGATGGTGAGATAAAGATTTCTTCTTTTACTTGAAGTATTCATTAGCTAGTTAGGATGTAGCCTCTATGCATATGTAGATTGAAGCCATTAGTAAAGTTTTGTTTTTAAACTGCAAGCTATTTGTGTTGTCTTTGAGTCAGCCTCAGTTCCTAGTGGAGCAGTTAGGCAAGGATACATTTCTGCTGCTCTGCTGATTTAAAAGCTAGACCCTATCAGGCTTGGCTTTGATACTTTTGATTTTTTGATATTTTGGATTCCTTAACAAAGACTGAAGCCTTAGGAAACTTAAATCCCCCACAGTTTTCTTGGCAAGATTTCTTCAAATGAGGTTTGTCATTGTCTTTCCCTGAGGCTGAGAGCATATGATTTGTCCAAGGTCAACCAGTGGGTTTCTTGTCCAAGCTGGGAATCAAACCCTGGTCTCCAGAATTGTAGTCCAGCATTCAAACCACTATGCCATGCTGGCTCTCATTTGGTTTGAATTAGCAGTGCTCTTTTTATGTTAACTCATTATTGTAACTATGTATCAATAAGATTCAGGATCTCAGCCTACTTCTATGACAAGACATGTGAGCACTTAGGAAAGAATGCTTAATCATAAAAAGTCAACATGGATTTGTTAAAAAAAAGTCATACCAGACAAATTCTATTTTTAAAAAAACATAAAGTTACACGCTTGTAGACCAGGGGGATGCTCTGAATGCAGTGTATCTTGATATCAGTAAGGCTGTTGAGAAATTCCTGTATGATGTCCTTGAAGACAAGTTGGTAAAATGTGTTCTAGACAATGTACTAGTACATTTGAAACTGGTTTACAGACCAAACCCATGCATCAATGGTTCCTTGTCATCCTGGTGATAAACAACAAGTGGGATGCCAAAGGGTTCTGTCCTGGGCCCAGTTGTATTCAACCTCTCTATAAATGACTTGGAAGCTGGAATAGGGATTATGCTTATCAAGTTTGCCGATGACACCAAACTG